TTAAAAGGATAAAAAAAAAAAGTGCTTGCAGCGCAGTCTGGGTGCCTGGCTCAGTAACACAGGAGGCAGTGTTCAGCGGCAGCCCTGCAGTAAAGAAACAGCTATGCACATGTAACAGAGAATACCAGATTTCACTCAGGAAACCAACTTTCACTTTGAGCTTCCAAGCAGCTAGTGTAAATAACAGACGGCTCAGCTTTTGAAAAATACAAAAAAAGTTCTGGAGTGGCCCCTCCAAATGACAATAAGCAAATTAATTAAAAAAAATTGGACTCGTTTACTTATGCAAATAGGGAACTCTATTTAAATCCCAGGAGCTGCACTGCAGCAAACGGATAGGAGGTCAAAATCAAACTTCTCCCCCTGCCCTCCCTTGGCTCCCTTGTCCCGCACATGGCTATCTTTAGCTTTTCCTAGATGATGATTTGTATAAACCCATTGTGGAATGCAGTTGCTGGGGAGATCTGTTATTCCCTAATTTCATGCTAATTGGCAAGGTCACATTTGGCTTTGAAGTTACTGCCTTGTTTAAAAAACAGCGGAGGGGGGCCCTTGCAAAGGATGCTGGTGTGTATCTCGTCCAGCTTGGGAAATCTCTGGAGCCCAGCAGGACCTGGTGTGGGTTTTCCTTTCTGCCGATCAGAGGTGTGTGAAAAGGATTTTTTTAAATCAAGGGTTAGGTCCTTTGAAACATAAATCGCTTGATCTTTTTCACCTGTTTTAACTCTTACAGCTGATGAGTAGGGTGGGCAGTCCTGAAGGCACTCTCTGGGGAGGATGCCCAGCCAGCCATGGTCGGTGGAGCTGCCTGCAGCACTCGAGAGCCTGTCTGTAGGAGCTGGTTTGCTGTTTGCAGTACAGTAGGACACAGAGCCCTGCTTCCATTCCTCATCGTGGGAAGAGGAGAACTGGTCTTGTGAACTAGTAACTGGGTAAAGACTATGGAAAATAGTCAAATAGTGGCTGGGAGTTTGGGTGGGATCCTAGGGGGCTTGGAGGTAGGACTTCCCTAGTCATGAGGCTTGGGTGACGCAGGGGTGACAGTAGAGCTGACTGAGAAGGCGAGGAGGTGCCGGCGTTGCCTGGGTGTGAAGCTCGCTTCCTTTTAACCCCCTTTCAAAAAAGAAGGATCTTTTGGTACTGAATCAGAGGATGATTCAGCAGTGAAACCTCAGGCTGGGAAATGCCTGAGCGAAGGGAGGTGGGGAAGCACTGTAAACTGCACATGCAGAGGGATGTCAGAGGAGCTGTGCTGAAGCTGCTGTGCTGCTCAACAAGATACCCGTCGGAAAAGCAGTGGAAGGGACAGTCCTTTGCTGGAGTGTTTCAGTCTGTGTTCAGAGATGCACTGTGCAGGGACAGATGAACCCTTAAAGGTGGCACAACCTTGGGTGCAAAGCTGTACCTCTGGGACATGCACACAGAGGTTTCAAAGCTGCTTCAGTTCATGAAAAACACCTTTGCTAGGCTGGTCCATCACACAATCATTCTTTTGTAAGGGGCTGCAATGGTCTCTCACCTCCTTGGGGACCGCAGCTGGTGTGCGGCAGGGCAGCATCCTGCCATCTCCAGCATGGCAGAGGGCCAGCAGTGTGAGGTTTGCTGTCCTCAGCTCCTGCCACCCCAACGAGGCTTACTTCAGCAGCTCAGGGAGAAGCATGGATACTGCTGCAGCCACCTGCCTGGAGCCTTTCCCGTGTCCTCAGCTGCTGGTCCCTGCACATGCAGAGAGGAAGAGTGTGGATTGCCAGGGAGAAACCTCCCCATCCCTCACTACCCCTCTCCAAGGCAGGAGCTTGACATTGTTTAAAAACCCAACGGCCGTGATGCTCGCCTGGGGAAGCTGGGATGTTGGTTTGGGTCTGCCCCTTCCTCGAGCAGATTCCAAACCCCAGCCTGCCTTAGCCAAGTTGGCCAGGACCAGTGTAGCCTGTCCCCTCCTACTGATGCAAAAAGCACAATTTCTCCTGATTTCAATGGAAGAGTCATTTGCTTCCAGAGAGCAGGAACTGCTGCTTCACCCAACCACCTCTTTTCTCTTGCGTGGTGAGGTGTGGCCTTATGTTGTAGCATCACCAGCATGTCCATGGTGACAGACCGTGAGGTTGCAGGTGTGGGCGATAGCACCAGGACAGTGATTTCATTGCACCTCTGAAGTTCTGCAAGGCTGGGACTCGGTCAGGAGATCTCCCCAAGCCCTGGGTCCTGACGCAGCTGTGCCGATGAGTCAGGGCTGGCAGCCTCTGCCCTGCCCAAGACACAGCCTCAGCCTCTGGGCATCTCTCCCTGGCACGGTTCCCCAGGCACACTTCAAACAAGGGCTGAGGTTGCCTTGTCTGCAGCCTTGCCCACGTTCCCGTGCTGCTGCCTGCTTTATTGATAATTTGCCGTGTGGGGGGGAATCTAGCTATTTTTGCTCCCCAGAAGGCTGTGGGTGTTGCCTGCTTGGCAAAGGGTGCCTGCCTCGCTGGGTGAGCTGGAGAGCTCTGCGAGGGGGCTGTGTGAAGGCGAGGGCATGCGACAGCTTGTTGTTGTGCATAAACATAGTTACTAATATCTGGAAGATGGATCCTCTCGCAGAGTGAATGCCAAGGATGAAAGCGCTCGCCTAAACAATATTTCAGAGAAAATTAAAGAAAACGGGTTATCTAAAGGACAGTGTTTAATAGCCAGAAGGTGTGGGTGGTGGTGCCTGTTTGTTATTCAGAAGACTTTAAAAATGACACGTTCACATATACGTTTGCTTTCACCATACCCACAAATCTATACATGCCAGCTTTGCTGCTCAACGTGTGCTGTGAGGAGTTGTAATGTTTTCACTGTTGGCTGTCTGTCTGGCACAGGTAATGCGGTTTAATGTGTAGGTGGGGGCAGCTCTTGCTGTAGGGGTGTTGAATGGGGAGCTGAAACGGTCACCTGTTCCCTGATGTGAAGCGGTTCCGCCTGGAGAGCTTCTCTGCCATGGCTGGTCACTGCACGAATCCTTCCTCAAGTCCTGGTGTCAAGCCTCGCTCTGCTGGTTTTGCTCCCTTGCATCAGCTGAAATGGGAGCGATTCTTCTGAAAGCCGTGGGAGTGATGTTCTGTGTGACTGCGGAGGGGTGTGTTGCTCTACTGAGCCTGAAGGAGCGTCGGGTTTTATTCAGAGTGAATCCTAGCATCGACGTCTAGGCTTGATGCGTCGGAGTTTGATGTGAATGACATCAAACTGTGAATGCCAAAGCTCTGATATCAATGATGCTAAAGATATATTCGGCTCAAAATTCAGTTACTTGTTGCTGTTCTCCCCATCCCCGAAACAACTGTGTGCTGGGATTAAAAGCCAGAGGGAACCTTAAGAAATCTGCAAGCTGGACTCTTCCAGTCATCTCCCATCCCGTCAGATAGACATTCTGTGTGTTGGTTTGTTTGGTCGGCTGTCGGGGTTTCCCGCTAAACGTGAAGGCTCAGCAGCTCCTACTACATTTTTCTTTTTCATGGGCTTTTGTGCAAAACATTGAGCACACAAAGTAGTAGTCAAAAGTCAGTGGAGGATTTTGCTTCCACACTAAGAAGGGTTTAAAGCTGAAAATGAACAGAACTAAATTAAATTCAATGAGATCACAATCTCTCGGTGTACAGGAGTTTCCCAACAATATTTTGCTGCTTTTGCAGAAAGCACAGTCAGCTCCCACCTGGCTTTATGCAAAATGTTATTTGCTCATGGGAAATGCTGCCTCATGTAGTGTAGGAGCTAGAGAAAATGCTGGAACCGTTATTTAAATGAAACCCTCTTCACCTGTGACACATACCGATCTGTACCCAGGGATGAGCAGATAGTGCGATTAATCTCAAACCACGGAGCTGTTTCAGGTATTTCCTGCTGGATGCACTGAAGCCTTTAAAAACATACGAAAATCATGATAGGATTTTGCAAGCTTATGTGTAATGACAAATATTACTCAGCTCCCAGGCTGGGGAGGGGTCTGTCCCTGGGATACCTGCCATGAACCTGCTCTCTCAGATGCCGCTGGCCTTAAGCACCTGATGCGGGGCTGGGGTGAGATCAGAACTGGGCTGAGCGATGCTGGTGGAATTCTGTGTTGCCTGGAAGCATCCCTGTATTCTGCAACCTGGGGGTAGTTTGCAAGACCGAAAATCTCTGAAAATTGAGGATTTTTTTTTTTTTTGCCAGGAGAGAGGATTGCACTGAATCTGTTACTGTGTATTTTATAATCCCTCTCCAGCCAAAACATTCCTTGAGCTGAATTTGGAAAGTGATTCCATGTAACCATGGGGCTGGATCCTTTCTCTCTCTCTCTTTTTTCTAACAAAAATTTGTGAATGTGTTTTCTGATCATCTGGTGCTTTCTCACGTGGAACCTATCACTAAAACTTGTTGACATGATATGGAGCCAAACAAATCATCACACAGAACTGACTTTTTAAAGAGCTTGAGCTCAGCTTTGGTTTCATGAAGCCTTTTCTGGCTGGACTTCGCTGTGTAAGGAAGGTTCTTCTCCCTTCACCGAAAGCTGTTCCTCAACCTTTTGGTTTTGCATAGACTTATTTGGAAGTGGTTTTGTCACGTGATGGCCCTCAGTCCAGCTCCTAGTTGACAAATGTTAACCAAAGTGACAACACCCCAGTTGACACTAAGGGGTATATTTGGCAGAAGGAGTGGGAAGGCCAGCATTGGAATGGGCAGAGAGGCTGACGTGTCGCCGACTCTTCTGGGTGATCCCTCTAGCTCAGGGCTCAGGTAGAGGGAGCCTGTCTGGGCGGTGTGGAGGTGTTTGCAGTGCTTTTGTCCATGCTACACCTGCTCTGAGCACTTGAGCTTCCCTGGCTGTTAATCCAGTACTTTTCACAAGCATTAATTGCAGTTAAAAAGAATTAAACAAATATTTACCTAATATCAGATCACAACCAGTTTATAAATATGCATTTTTTTTTAAATCCATGATTGCTCAGCTTCTGTAATAATATTTATAGTCTTAAAAGAGACCCTTCTTTTTCCAGAAGAACCGACTCCACATAAAACCAACAGCCCACCCTCTGGAGTTACATACGCTCATGATGTCTTGGACTGTGGCCTCAAGCCATGCCCCCTGCCTTTTCCTAGCCTTTCTGCAGATCCCATGGGCAGATATGGACAGCCAGATAGCATAGGGACAGCACCTACACACCCTGCCAACGCTGCAGGGGCCTCTGCTCCAAGCCCTAGGATTGAAATTACTCCATATCATGAACTGATTCATTCAGGGGGTCCCTTCCGCAGCAGAGACACAGATGTTCTTTTGGTAGAACATCAGTCAAACTCAGCTACCACTAGCCCAAGGGTTACCCTGCCTGTCCCTGGCTTTGAGGGCTACAGAGAACCACTGTGTCTGAGCCCAGCTAGTAGCGGCTCCTCTGCAAGTTTCATTTCAGAGACAAATGTATCTCCTTGCACATCACCATGTGTTTCACCAAATAATGGTCCTAGTGATGACCTTTGTCCACAGTTTCAAAACATCCATACTCATTATTCTCCTAGAACCTCTCCAATAATGTCACCACGAACAAGCATCACGGAGGAAACCTGCTTGGGACGACATTCACCATCACCCTGTCCCAACTCAAGGTCTTCATCACCAGGTGCAAAACGGAGGTACTCTTGCACTGAGCTCTACAGTACTCAGCTGCCTTCCACTTCTCCACGACAGTCAAGGACCCCCTCTCCACAATCCTCTCCTCGCATCCCCTTGGGAGAAGACAACTCTTCAGTTACTTACACTCAGTTGCCCAGCGCTTCTCTTTCCATGGATGCTATGAGCAGCCTTCCTACGGATCCTTCCTGTGGTGTTCCCACGAAAATTTGGAAAACCAGCCCTGATCCTTCATCAATGCCTTCCCACAAAAACAGCATTCCATGTCACGTCTTTCAGACTGTTGATTTCCACGGGCCTTGCGAGCAGGAGGACAGGAGAAACTCAGCCCCAGAATCAATTTTGTTGGTACCTCCATCCTGGACAAAGCAACTGGTGCCTGCAATACCTATCTGCAGGTATGTAGTGCTCTCATGGTTGTATGTTTTCTCATGGCGTGATGTTCTCTGTCATGCACAATTGATCCCCAGGGAGGGTTTTCTTGGGCAGATGCTGCTGCAAAGCAGAGCTAAGTGCTGAGGGACAGCGCTGGTTAATGGGAGCCTCATCTGTGCTGATTCTGAGAAGTGAAAAAATCTGTGCTTGGAAGAAACATCATCAGAATGGTTCATTGGTAGCACAGCATATGACAAATTCAGTTTTTCAGATTATTTGTCTTAAAAGTAGATTGGAAACAGCCTTTGGCAAACTTGACCAATCTTGTTCTCACTTGCAGCTTTTAAAGAAAATGGTTTGATTACTTTTCTAAATTCAGGGAATGTCTCATTTACAAATTTCCATCAAGGATGAAAATACTTTAAATCTTCCCTGATTCAAAATAGAGCATGCTGCTCCAAGTCAGGCTGAGCATTCTGTCAACCCCGAGTGCCTTATTGTTGGTTGTCAGTTTGTTAACTGTCGTGTAACCCAAATCTCAGCTGCTGGCACTACCCTCATCAACTCCCTCCATTGTCTGGCACTGGCGGCACCCGGCAGCACGCAGGTCTGGATCCCCAGCGTTGCACATCTGCCAGGACAGGGGTTGCCAAACGTGTGACTCCACTTGCAGTCAGTGCTGGCACACTGTCAGCCTTGCCGTCCTGCCTGGCAGCAGGGTTGTCCCCATGCTGACGTTATCCCGTGCTGCTCCTCACCTGCTAAACACAGACTGTGGGTGAAAGAATGTGGGCCATGACGTTCTTTGGCTTGTTAGATTGGTCTTGGCAGCAGTTTGTACTGACAAAATAGGAGTTGTTTAAAATCCAGTGCAGGCTCTAGTTGCACTTCTCAGTGTATTCATTTAATGTAATAAACTCTTGCTAATTTGATAACAGGAGAATTAGTATCAGGTAAGAATATTTAGTATTTTATTATTTATGGAAATCATATTGTTAATTTTGCAACTGGGAAGTATTAGTAAATGGAGTTAATATTTCACAATGTATGTTCTATGGTCAAAGTTTAAGACACACAGCAAAAGCTAGATAAAAGTGAGGTATCTGAAAAAAATGCAAGTGCTACAAATATTTATATTTAAGAAATTGTTTATTATAGTTAAGAAATAGAAATATTCTATCCTGTTCCCTTCTGCGAGGAGGTACACCCTCAGAAATTATTGTGTTCACCTTGAATTTCAGCAAAGTTTGTAATCAGACATGAGCAGGACAGCACATTGTCATTGAAATAAATAGCAGACTCCTAAATGTTTCAGCACCAGCAGCCCTGGTGGGGCACTTGGAGGAGGGAGAGATCATGGCTTTGAGAAACAAAGTGCTAAAGAGTTTCAGCTGGTGTGGTCTCTCTTTTCCTAGTTTGCCCGTCCAGTCACTCCCACCCCTGGAGTGGCCACTCTCCAGCCAGTCTGGCTCCTACGAGCTGCGGATCGAGGTGCAGCCGAAGCCCCACCACCGGGCACACTACGAGACGGAGGGGAGCCGAGGGGCTGTCAAGGCACCGACCGGAGGCCACCCTGTTGTCCAGGTAAGGGACTGGGGAACAACTCCGAAAAGGAAAAATGGGGGGTGAATTCATTTTTGAAAGTCTTGCTGGGGGATGACCATGAAGGAGGAGGAGCATGTGAACCTGGGTGTGCTTGTAGATGTCTGTGAAGTGTCTGAGGTCCTAGATGTTTGGAAAGTTGGATTAGTTTGTGAAAGCTCAGAAACCGAAGCAAAATAATTGCCACCTTTTCTGGGTTGTATGTTAAACCTTCTGCGACCCAACTCTCCCATGAGATGCCCAGCTGTCTGGAATTCTGCTGAGCCTGCTTTACCTTGACAACAGACTCTTGTGAGGTACAAAATGTATGAACATCAAGCCTGGCTTTTCAAACTCTGTGTAGCTCAGTGGCCTGCCAGACTCAGATTTAAAAAACAACTAGCAAATCGCATTAGATCTGCAGTACCGTGTCCTTCTGCCAGCAGTGAGGAAGAGTTTTGGAGCCAGGTCCAGCAGAGTTGCTACCTGTGTGTCTGGCTGTACTGAACCTCTGCTCCGCCCTGGTCTGTACAGCTAAACTCTGCGAGACTCACGCGTGTTCTCTTGAGGGTTAAAGACAGTGAAAACAACCTTTATTAATCTGGATGGGGGTTGGATTAGGGAGGTATGGATGTTAAGCTGGAGTTTCCCCAGAGTTAACGGATGCCTTTTGTTAGAAATGTCTTTCACACATTTGCTTTTCCTTAGCAATTTTACTCTTTTTTTTTTTTTTTTCCTTCCTGTCCTCTGGTTACATAGTAGAACTTCTAATTTTAAGCCCATTTCAATTGAGGTCAGAGAATCTCACCCGTGGGTAATTCAGGCACTCAGTACATCCATTTCAGTCTAGTGCCTGGTTTATATGTAACTTGCTGACGCCGTGTCCCACCTTGCGTGCGGTTCTGCCTGTCATCTGTGGCAACGCTGCCTTCTTTTTGTCCTGGATGTACACCACCTGTACTGGCTGTAGTAGCTGTGTGATAAGGAGGCAGAAGGGCAAGATAATTACATGGCAGTGGGGATGATTTCAAGAAAAAGTTTGGCTGCTATAAAGTTTTAAACATAGAGAGGACATGCTTATCGGCTTTGTAACGCTCTAGAGACACAGTGAATGAGTTGAAGTGGGAGCTCCCCTGTGATTTGGGCTGATATCACTAAAAAACCAAAATTTTATCTCTCTTGAGTTATCATTTATATGGCCCTAAAGAGTCTAGTTCTGGTCCGAGCTGTGCTTGTGAGAAGGGAAGTCACCCTGCTGAAACGTATGATGGAAATCCGCTGACAATGATAGAGGTAACAAAATCTGTCCTCTGCTCACCTGAACTATTGTTCTGTTGCGGAGGGTGAAGGGCTTTTCCTTCTTTCAAAGTCTGATGTAAAATCATGGCTGAGTAGCTGCACTGTAGCCATCTGGGGCCATGTAAGTCTTTCCACTCATGTCTTCCTCATTTCAGCCAGTGCTGTTCAGAGGGAAGGTTGGTCGGGGTTGCGAGGTGTTGGGGCAATGCTGCTGATAATCGTGTACGTACAGAGCAGCCACAACTACACCTTCACTAAGCAAGGTTGAGGTGGATCCTACAGATGTTCCTGTCACACTCAGGGCTTGCTATGGCAAGCCTCAACCAGGGAAACACTGAAGTTGTGCTTAATTTTAAGCATGTGATCAATACCACTAATTTCACTGGGCTGATTTGTGCTTAACTTCAAACATATGTTAGATATTCCCTTGCAGGCTCAGCCCCTTTTAAAATCAAGCCATAAATTTTTAAATCAATGAATTTGTTTACTTTGGTTGAGCTGGACTTGTATGTATGGACTGGATATTTGAGTAAAGGGTGCAGGATAATAATAAATAGCAATCACGTTTGACATACCTTAATATATGCGATCTTTGTAGTTTACGAATCTGACAAACTCACAGCCCGCTGTGGTGTGTTTGAAGCTGCGTGGATGTATGAACTGTATGGCAAATCAGCACTTGCACTTTTCTCCGTTTGCTTACAAATATAGTATCCCTTACCTTCCCGAGATACTCCTATCAACCTGATGTTTATTGCAATGAAGGAGTTTCTCGTGACATGGGGAAACATAAGGGCTTTGTTTCCTTCCTGTAATCAATATCAATCAAAGAGGGATTTGTATTTTCTGTTGGAGATAGGAACTGATATTCCTAGTTTTATCATATGTTGCCATCAAGCTTAAGGATCTTAAACTATAAATTCAAAGATCCACATCAGTTTCCCGAGCAGCTGTGCCTTTGCACAGCTGTGCCTGCATATGGGGAAAATATGGAGCGTTTCTTTATGAAGGTTTATTATAAACCTGGAAGTATTTGTTGGATTTGTGTTCACTTTAACATAACAAGGTTCATACGGATGCAGGGCAATGACATAGCTGCACCTGTGTGGTTTATGACATGTGAAACTCAGGAAGGCTAGTAAAATCCAAAGCTTTCATGTCATAAGTTATTTGGCTTCAACTTTAGGGTTTTTTTTCTTCTTTCCCCTCAGTGAATTTTAACTTTTGTGTTCTAGTCAGATGCAAACAGTACAGAAACACAGAAAATGAAACAGGAGAGATTTTTAAAAGGTAGATGCTGTGTTGAGGAAAGATAGCATGAATTAAAGGCAGCTGGTTGTAAGGAGATTGAATTAAGTTAGTTTTCAGCAGGTGCTCTCTGTATTTGGCCCCAGGGCAGGAATGGCAGTGTTGACCCAGGGCAGACAGGGCTGGGATTCTCCTGCTGACTGCAGCCCTGGTGCAGGGAACCCACAGCAGTTTGCAGGTAACGGACTGGAACACACCACCCTTGGGATTTTTCTGGAGCACTGGGACTTTTCCATAGCGACTTTTTTGAATCCAGTGCTGTCTGTCAAACACTCAGGACTTAGATACTGAGAAGCCAAGCTTGCCCTGGGAGTGGCCCACCAAAGCGGTGGGGCTTATACTGAGGCTGAATGTCCCATTCATGTCCCATGCATTTTACAACCACTTCCGATAGGCTGCTATTCCACTATTTTGATTAACTTTTCTAAAATATAATGTTTTAAATTTTTTTTTCCCTGAATTTTTTATTTCCCCATTAAATTAACCCTCCACATGGTTAATTATCCAACTGAACCTCCTGGAGGAAGAGATGTTTTGCAGCATGGTATCTGCCTGCAATATTTGTTTTTTGAACACTGCATTTTGCATGCAAGTTTCTTCTTTTGGGTGCTCTGAAGCTACAGACCAGCAGATCTCATATCCTCTTGGCCTTATCTTGTGGTTTATCTTTCTGATGCTGCTTCCTCTTCTTCACGTGTCTGGGCCCGAGAGTTTGTGTATAAGGTTCTGCACCACTTGTGCTCTCCAAGTGTGGCAGAAGAGTCTGGTTAATCAAAACCTCTGGCTACGTGGGGCCCACGGAAAAGGGTATTTAGTTTGTTTGCCGGGGGGAGGGAGAGAGAAGCCATGCATCTCATGTAATGTTCACATCATCTAACTTCAGAGACCATCTAGAGTCACATGGACAAGTGTAGGCTTCCAGTTTAGGTGTTCTGAGTCACCCTTGGAAGGAAACTACTGTTTGCTATTAACTATTGAGAAACTTGGGCTTCTATTTGAGGGATGTAAGTTGAATGCCAGTGTGAGTATTCCCTAGATGTTGTCACTGAGAGCAGCGAGGAAACTTTGCACAGCAAGGGCAAAGCTGAAGTTTGCGTGCACCTACCATCTTGCAGGACCATTGGGTAGCTGAGGCCACAGAGGAGGGGTAGGCATGATTTTCTTCCTTACCAGCTCTTTTTCACTGACATTGAGGGACAGCTGCTTATTTGTACTCAGCTGCTCCAGTCAGGGCTTTGGAAGAGACTGTCTTTTAGGAAAGGCAGTGACTGCTCCCATGCAAAGATCTTACGGATGTGATTGGGATGGAGATGACAATCCAAACACAAACCTAGCTCTGTCCAAGTTCCCCCTGCGGCAGTATGCACCCAGAGGGGTCAAAGTCTCCATCTCTGTATGCTTTTAGGCAAATATCTGCTAGGAAGGATGTGGATATATTTGAATTATGCTTGGGACAGGAGAGATGAACTAGCTGATTCCTTGAGATCCCTCATTGTTTTCAGTAATCCTAGGAGCCCCCCACCTCTTTAGGGGAAATTACATCTTTTGGGTTGTTGGCATTGCTTGCTATCCTGTTGTCAAGGGGAAACAGGGCATGTGGTACTGCTTGAATAGCACTGGATGCTGGCCTAGGTGTCTTTCACCTACTGTCCACAGTGGCAGTAAGAACCTCTGTCCTTCGGGAAGAGACACATTGTCAGTTCTACAGCAAAGGTTGTCCTGTCTTTGAACTGTTTAAGGCAGTGATGAGAAGGAAAGGCCTTTTCAGTAACAAAGGTTGGGTTTGGATGACCTGCACACCATGATCAAGCAGAATCTATAAACTCTTAAAAGCCATAAAAATACTATTTTGAAGATATTCATTAAACTTAGTGCTTCTGTTTTTTTCCTGCTGCTTTGCATGAAGCCATGTTTTACGGAAATGGTGTTTTGCACGATTCTGTGATATTTCAGGGAGTTCTGAGAAGAACCCTTGTCATTCCTTCAAGGGAGGTGGAAGGGAAAGGAAAAGCATTTAGGAAAGATGAGCAGTGGGTTTATGTAAATGATTGTCCACATACTTTGGATAGCTGATCTGTACTTGTTTGATTAGAAGTTGTTGTGTTTACATGTGTTGCAGCCCATGGGTATAAACAAGACAAACCCATTTCACATCGTAATCTTCCCACATTCTGAAATCCTCTGGGGTCCTTGGTGGTAATAGGTACTAGATAAATGGGTGATGTGCTGCTGCATTCACCTCATTTAATTAAGAGCAGTGGCACAGGGCATCAATTTCAGGTGTACGTCTGCTGTAGACTGTAGAGAGGCTGAGGTATATTATTTTGTTAAAAATCTGTTTGAGAACTCAGCTAAGTCTTGGGGTCAGAGAGTACATATAAGCCTTTTTCCTTCTT